CAAGTCACATATCTAAAAGCCATTTGCTTATACTACTTTCTATTTATATTAAAATATAAATCTTATCTGATGAATACATAGAAAATGTTTCATTTGTAGGAAACTACGAAATCATTTGGATTTCTGGACCTTTAAAATTGTCATTATAAGAATAAAAAATATATAAGAATAATGAAAAGCTAGCTAATATTGACTAATATCTTAGTATATTACACAAAGTGCTAGGTAGTGATATATATTACTGCATTTACAAAAAAAACAGAGTTTTTGGATTTTTTGTGTAATTTATGCACAAATGGCATAATTAATCAAGATATATATTCATCTGTAATTTTACTGCACACAAAATTGACTTCTACAGGAAAGGGAGCTGATATGTACTGTGGATTTACACAATAGCCCAACCTCCATGTTTCAGAGGGATTTACTTGATTTCTAGTTGTCCTCTAGTACACAGTAACTATTTGTTATTATGGCTTCTGGTAGAAATGATCCTAAGTAGAAAGTCAAATGCTTTTATTGCATTTTACAAAATTAATTTCCATACTAAAGTGCTATTCTGCAGTTTGGGAATTTGTGAGGGTCTCCGAATCTGTTTTACTATGTGTCAGGTTGTCAGAGAGAAACCTGAGTACATTGTGACAAATTAATGTTTTGTCTGAAAGTTTAAATGTTTAAAGCACTCTCCCATAAAATAAACTGTTATAAATACATAGCTAAAATGAACCTAAAGCCTTTCCTCCAAGGCTTCAGCCTAAGGAAACTAGCACACAACTATACCCGGGGAACTTGGTTGACTCTTTTTCTGCAGCAAGATATGTATTTCACAGCACATATCTGAAAGCTATTTGCAGTTCATAGTTCCTACCCTGTAATGTTGGGATTTTCTCATCAATCTCTTCCTAGAGATTAAATTACATACATTCTTAGTATTTATGATCAAACTAATGAGATTTCCTCCTTCAGGACTGCAGATTATTTTTCTCCTCATTTCAAGAGATAATCTAATAATTTAATATCATAATTATGCTTCCCCTTTGCCCTCCCTAGCTCAGATGTAGAGATTCCCTCCCAAATTCATTTTTAAACTCTGATTTAGTAACTACTGCACAGCCAAAATAAAATGAACTTCTCTTTACTCATTCAGCTGCATGTTCCCAGACCAAATGCTCATTTAGAATCATGACTAGTTGTTATGATTCATAAAGAAATCTGTTGGTCTTCTGCCTTTTTCAACCCAACTGAATTACATTTTACCTCATTTCTGAATTTTAGCTCCAGAATATATTTGATGGACAGTTGAAGCAAATTTGGCTGCAGTCATGCTGTATAACTATGTTTAATACATGCTTCCTTTTTCTTACCAATGGAATGTATATTAACAGATACGGCAGCAATGAGTTCCCCCAAATCTCTGCGACAATCTACAGAAAACAGAAGAGATGGCTAGAATGGAAATTAAAAGGTTGAAGAGAGGATATCCTGTCTCCTCTTTCTAGAAGACAATGCCAAGTTTGTGGCAAGGCTCTGTCTCAAGGGGCATTCTACACAGAAATTTTTGTTAAATTTATTTAATAGGCCTAGAAGGGAAATTATCAGGGAAAATGATATCAGGATCTTTATAACTGTGCTCTATTCCAGATAAACCACTAACCCACTACTTTGTAGATACAGTCAAAGGGTTTTGTAATGTAAATATTATCTGTAGCAAATAGGAAGAAACTTGCTTTATTTTAATCCATTATACACTGGCGAAGGTTTGGAGTATTTGACCTGTGAGCACAGTTAGAATTTTTTTTTTTTTTTTTTTTTTGATGGAGTTTCAGTCTGTCACCCAGGCTGGAGTTCAGTGGCGAAATCTTGGCTCGCTATAACCTCCGTCTCCTGGGTTCAAGCGATGCTCATGCCTCAGTCACCTGAGTAGCTGACATTATAGGCGCATGCCACCACACCCAGCTAATTTGTGTATTTTTGGTAGAGACAAGGTTTTGCCATGTTGGCCAGGCTGGTCTTGAACTCCTGGGCTTAAGTGATCCAAAAGTGCTGGCATTACAGGTGTGAGCCACCATGACCGGCCGGGTTAGAAAAAATTACAATGGTTATATTTTAACCTGAATCTTCAAAAGCTTATTTCTGTATACAAAATAAATACACAACAATTATAGAACATTTAGAAATGCAAAACAAAGGAAAAGGAGAAACTATCCATAATTCTGTCTAAACAATTATATAATTGGCCCCTACCATGCACATTTTTTGTCACTGGAAGGTTGAACAAGCAAGATTCATGTAATGTACCAAAAGCAATAGAACTTTGTTTCCCATTACCCTTTTAAAAATATTCATACAGGTTCATTTTTCCTGAAACATCTACATAAAAGTTGGACTGTCCTACTATTACTCTGACTATTGTTAATAATAAAAGTCCTATAATCGATTTGCGTTAGTAGTCTTAAATAAGTAATTAGGTTTCCTAGCCTCATCATGATCAAAATTCTACTCTTACTCTTGATTTAAAATTGTATATTCTTACCCCTCCAGCAGCTCAGGTCTCCTTTTGGGGAAAGGGATGTGGTCTGTTATTTCCTTCCCCATGTATTAACTATACTCTTACCTATCTGTTGTTGGACAAGGGTTAGAAATTAGAGGCTCAGTGGATAGGATTTTTCTTACATTACTGTGCTTGTCCTACAGGAGCTTCACATGTTCTGGGGCTCACAGATGTTTAAAGCTACCTTTGGATCTCCTGGGCATTTGTGAATTAACTGAAGCAGTACCTACTGCAATTTACTTGATCTAGACAAACGGCACTTTAATCTGGCTGGTCACTGTCTAATGAGTCACCATTGCAAGTGGCAATTTTAGTACAGGCGTGAAGGCAGACCACACTGGCTCTGTGTCACATGTGCTTATGATTGACCCATGGGAAATGCATGTACACTTTTCTGCTCCCAATTCACGGGATGCAGGCCAATCTCAACACACATAATTTTTTTTGTATTTATTTATTAAATGCTTAGCAAACCCATCCCTTACCTTTAGGCTTCTCAAATAAAATCAGACACCATTCTACCATGTCCCCCACATTGCAGGGGACATATATTAAGCCCTCCATGTAGTTCCATTGAAGCCCCAGTCACCAGGCATGCAGTGGAACTTACCATAAATCTCTCCAAAATTCCTCTTCGTAAAATCCTCTCCCCACAGTCTCCGAACTTTTTCTACCTCAGATATGAGTGATAGGTTTAATAGTCTAACCTATTTTTAATTATTTCCTTTAAAATATTGATGTTTGGTAGCTAACTTTGAAATGTTCACTTTTCTTTATCAGGGAATCCTAACTAAAAATTCTAATTTAACCTCTTAATTCTCTATCTATTGATATATTCTAGCTCCCCCCACTCCAGCCCCCCTCCCACACAAGTATACATACACATTCAAGACTTGGCATCTGAAATGAGACTGCCTCAGTTGAAAGCCTGACTGTGTCACTTAACTAGCTCTTTGTCTTTGAGCCAGTCACTTTTCCTTTTTGTGTCTTACTTCATTTATAATCTGAAGATAATAATAGTCCCTATCTCAGCAATAGGATTATTTTGAAGATTAATATGATAATACATTTTTTAAATACTTAGAAAATTTCTAGCACATGTCACTAATAATGTTACCTTCATAGGCAATAATAAAATCATTAGTATTATAATTATTATAAATGTTCTCTTGATCTCTTGTTTGATTTATGAGGATTTTTACACGTCATTAAATATTCTCCTTTACATCAAATTGTTATACCATATTCAGCTGTATAACAGCAGCATGATTTTCAAACACTAAACTGGATGTATATATCATTTCTAATATTTTGTCACATCATTGGTTATCACTATGTTTATCACCTCTGTGTTCCCGCCCTCCACCCCAACCCCAACCTTAGAATACATTGATTGAACAGGAATTTCTGGGTCAAAATATGATTATTTTAAGGCATTTAATACATATTAAAATTTATCCAGCAAAAATTAAAAATTTAATATTACTGTATATTCTGTTTTCAAGAGTATCTTAAAATTCTGGCCTGTCTAATCTACTATTAAACACTGACTTAAGGATAAGAGTATTATTGGAAGATAATAAAAAAAAAAAAACAGACATAGGATGTTCTCTAGTTTCCTAATAGAGTGTGCCAAGAGATTCCTGGAAATGCTTTTGGACCTGGGGATTAGCAAAGCTCATTTAAGGTTGAATGAGGAGAAATCCAATATATCTTCAGAACCAGAGAGTTCTGCTGACATAACTACACTAACCTTTTTTTTTTTTTTTTTTTTAATAGAAAAAGGAAATGAAGTGAGAATTAGCAGTAGTGGCTATCTACTGTGGTGGTTCATCATCAGAAACTTAGATTGAGCTGCTTTAATTATGTAAATGTATCTGTGGATAAGTGTCAATAAACTTCCATCCAAATAAAATAAATCAAAATTCTGCTTCTCTTAGCATATTCTATTTTAATTAAAATCCTGATCACAGTTAGTAACCGTAGTTATATAGTTGACAAAATAATCACTAAAGGGTGTAAATCATCTAGATACTTGTCTAACATAGAGGACATGATAATTAGTCCATCTGATAATAGAAGTTTCACATATGTCATAAGATGAAGATAACGTGTTTCTCATTTTTCACTATTCCAGATAGGTACCATTATGAAGAGTATGCCAATTTTATCAAGGTCCCACAAACTCAATGTTACCTGACTTAAGGCATTTTCTCGCTAAAGAAATAAGAGCATAAATATATTTTTCTTAAGTATCTTAATTTAAAATGTTCTACTGTGGAAAAGCCATCTTTCTGTGATACTCTCTGCCTCTCTCTCTTTCTCTCCCCTTCTCTCTCTCTCACACACCTATATGCACACACACACTCCACATTCACAAAGGCATATAATTCCAACAAAACCAGGTAAAATATTCACCCAACCACTGAATAACAGCCATTGGACCAACCTTATAAAGCAGTGGCAATTTTCCTAATTTCAGGAGTGCGATCTGATTTGTTACATTTTTTATTTTCCTAATCCTTTTTAAATCATCTGCCATTCCATAACTCACATCGATGACTTCAGCCTAAAAGAGGAGAAAAAAACAAAGAAAAATAAAGTCTCGGAGGAAGAAGTATAGCCAATTGTCCATTTAGTATAACAAAATTATTCATAATAATTTGAAATGTTCAATATAGAATTAATTCTGTCTCTTACCCTGTCCCAATTACTATAAACATGACCTTTCTATTTCCATCAAGGTACAACAATTCTTCTGGGCACCTGAGAAAATGTGAGTCATTTTTGCTTTGTTCTCTCTCTTCTAAAAAATGACAAACACAGTTCATTCTTCTAACAGACATTTGGAATATTCTACATTCATGTTTCTGGAATATGAGCCATTTTACAAAACACTGAAAGATTAATTTCCTTAAGGTCCAACAGCAATTATATAATTCTCAGGCCTGAAAGAAAATTCAAATGTTTTCTATTGCTATCCAAATTAAATGCAGCATCCTCACTTGCATGGTCATCCTGAACAGCTGCTCATGATGCTCTGTTCAAGACTGTGCCATAGCCAGCTGTGAATGACAAATTCTTGAGTCATGCAGAATACAACCTGTTCAACTACATGTGCCAGTCTAGCAACCCAGGCCCCAGATTATCATTTCTGTCACATTTTGCACTACTCACCTGGAGTTACATTTGACCTCAATGTTACTCATTTTTATAAGTCCTCTTGTATTAATGACAAAAAGAAAGAATCTCATACCTTTCTGGAGATTCCAATCAAAACCTTCTCATGTAGTGAACCCTTCCCTTCTCCTTAGAAAGCACTGAACTGCAAATTCATATATTTCTATGAGCCAGTATGATTGATTTTAGCTTTACTTTCTGTAATATCTATTTATTATTAAAACAATAGCTGTCATGCTTTCCAAGGATTATATTATAACATAAATCTGCTATTTCAAATTATAGCATATATCCACAGAGAGGCTGATTAAAAAAAAAAAACAGTTAGTTGTGGCAAATCATGAAAAAAATAAAGATGGAGAATCCAGATCTCGCGCTTTCCATCCTTCTCGATTGAAACTAATGCACTTCAACAAGTTTTATATGTAATACTTCCATAAAAGATTCATCTGAAGAAAGAGCATTGTTTCTCTAGGAACATATGAATACCTCCAAGAGATTGGCAAATCTGCTAGAGAAAATATTTCTGCCATGAAATATTTCTTTAGTCATCACATTCATCTGTATCTGTAAAAACTCTATGAATACATTAACGTCCATTTCAAATGTCACCTACCTGATGAATTTTATTTATCTTTTGCCCACATATGACCTCTCTCTACTTTGGCTCCCAGAGTAATCTGTTTTTGCCTCTCTTAAGGCCCTCACTAGACATGTATGCCAGTTTCAGTTTCCAATACAGGGAAATTCCTTGGTGAAGAGCCCATTACATACCCATGCTCACCCAGGTGTCCAGCATATGCTATGGACTCAGTAGGTGTTGAATCAAAATGATTACAGCTCATAAAATATCTCTAAAAAGTTAAGCGGCACTTTCAAATGGATTTGCCAGGGAAATGTAATTGTTAAAAACACTTCTGTCAGAATGATTTTTCATTATAATTTTATTCCTATTAAAAATGATTAAATCAGTGCCTTTAATACATTTTTTAGTTTGCTGATACCATTACCATATAAATAACTGTTGATATATGATTTTAAAAGTCTGATTAAGTAAAGGATCACAAAATACTAATGATTACATTGCAAAAGTGAGAAAAATTTCTATTTTTCATTTCATTTCTAAGCTACCTACTAATTATTTGTGATTCACTGACAGCATCTTATAATAAGGCTATTATTCAATTGATTATGTAAAAGAACTTTTTTTTATATGTAGTAGAGTTTATGGAAAACCTTACTTGTTTTGGGGGATATAGATCAGATTGTGTATACAGGCATACATCAGAGATATTGCAAGTTCAGTTCCATACTACCACAATAAAGCAAATATTGCAATAAAGTGAATCACACAAATTTTGCGGTTTTCCAATACATATAATAGTTATGTTCACACTATACTGTAATCTATTAAGTGTGCAATAGCATTATGTCTAAAACAAAATATCATACCTTAATTTAAAAATACTTTATTAATCTGAGCTTTCAGTACATTTTTATATTTTTGCTAGTGAAATGTCTTGCCTCAATGTTGGTGGCTGCTAACTGATCAGGGTCACAGATGCTGAAGGTTAGGGTGGCTTTGGTAATTTCTTAAAAGAAGACAACAGTGAAGTTTGCCACATCGACTGACTCTTCCTTTCATAAAATATTTCTCCATATCTCTCATGACATAGTGTTTGACAGCATTTTACCCAAAGTAGAACTTCTTTAAAATTGCAGTCAATTATCTCAAAAACCCTACTGCTGTGTTAATGAACTCAGTTTATTTAGTATTCTAAAGCCTTTGTTGTCATTTCAACAATGTTCCTGGGAATTGGAAAGATAGGGTCTAGAAGTAGATTCCACCTCAAGAAACCACTTCCTTTGTTCATCCATAAGAAATAACTCTTCATCCATTCAAGTTTCATCATGACATTGCAACAATTTAGTCACATCTTCAGGTTCAACTTCAAATTCTAGTTTTCTTGCTATTTCCACCACCTCTGTAGTTACCTCCTTAAAATTTTGAACCCCTCAAACTCATCCATAAGGGATAAAACCAATTTCTTTCAAACTCCCGTTAATGCTGGTACTTTGACCTGCTCTCATGAATCACAAATGTGGCTAATGGCATTTAGAATGGTGTATCCTTTCCAAAAAGTTTTCCATATACTTTCTCAGATTTATCAGTGGAATCACTATCTGGGGAAGGTACAATCTTCCAAATATATTTCTTAAATAATAAGACTTGAACGTTGAAATTACTCCATAATCTAAGGGCTGCAGAATGGATGTTGTGTTAGTGGCTTTGAAAACAACATTAACCTCCTGTACATCACCATCAGAGCTCTTGGGTGGCCAGGTACATTGTCAAAGAGCAATAATATTTTGAAAGGAATCTTTTTTTCTGAGCAGTAGGTCTCCACAGTGAGTTTGAATATTATTATTCAGTATTCCATGTATAAACATATTTGCTGTTATCTGGTCTTTGTTATTTCCATTTCTAAAGCACAGCACGGTAGACTTAGCATAATTTTTAAGGGCCCGAGCATTTTTAGAATGGTAAATGAGCACCGGCTTCAACTTCAAGTCACCAGCAGCATTAGATCCTAACAAGGGTCAGCCTCACCTTTGGAGCTTGGAAGCCTGGCCTAGACATCTTCTCTCTAGCTATGAATGTATTAGATGACATCTTCATCCAACCTAAGGCTGTTTTGTCTACATGGAAAATCTGTTGTTTAGTGTAGCTACTTTCATTAGTACCTTAACTAGGTCTTACAGATAACTCGCTGTGGCTTCTATATTAGAACTTGCTGATTCACCCTGCACTTTTGTGTCATGGAGATGACTTCTTTTCTTAAACCTCATGAATCAACCTCTGTTCGCTTCAAACTTTTCTTCTGCAGCTTCCTCATCCCTTGCAGCTTTCACACAACTGAAAAGAGTTAGGGCTTGCTGTGGCTTAGGCTTTGGATAAAGAAAGTGTTGTGGTTTGTTTGATCTTCTATTCCGATCACTCAGACTTTCTCCATATCAGCAATAGGACTGTTTTGCTCTCTAATTATTCATGTGTTAACTGGAGTAGCATTTTTAATTGCCTCCAAGAACTTTTCCTTAGCATTCACAACTTAGCTGTTTGACACAAGGGACCCAGCTTGTGACCTATCTTGGCTTTTGACCTGCCTTGCTTATTAAGCTTAATCATTTCTTTTTATTGAAAGTGAGAGACATGTAACTCTTCTTTTCACTTAGAGGTCATTGTAGGATTCTTAATTGGTTGCATTTCAATATTGTTTTGTTTCAGGGAATAGGGAGGCCCAGGAGAGGGAGGGAGATGGCAAATGGCTGGTGGATACAGCAGTCAGAACACACATAAATAATATTGATTGAATCAGTTTGCTTATATGGGTACATTTCTTGGTGTCTCAAAATAATAACAATGGACAATGGTAACATCACAGATCACTGATCACAGATAACCCTAGCACATATAACCATAATGAAAAAGATTGGAATATTGCAGGAATTAGCAAAAAGTGAAATAGAGATGTGAGCTGAGCACAGGTGCTGAAAAAATGGCACCAGTAGGCTTGCTAAATGCAGGGTTGCCATGATCTTCAATTTGTTGAAAACACAGTATCTGTGAAGCACCCTAAAGTGAAGCACAATAAATCCAGATATGCCTGTATAACAGAAAGGTATGACAGTTACGAAAATACCAATTCTTCAAAAGACATTAACATTATTGGAACATATCAATAGGCTGAGTCAACAATTTTAATTAAATAGCTCTTCAACTCATCTTCTCTAAATAGTACATGTTAATAAATCAAAGTGTTTTAGCATGTAAGAGGATTTTAGGTTTTCCCACAAAAAAACATTTCTCAATACAGACAACATTATATCAATTTATATTGGCTTATGCATTAAAAATCAATAATTACAGAAGTCTCAATGTTTTGATGGATTTGCAGGCAATAATAAAAATGTATCCATTGCCTTCAAAGCAAGCCTTAAAACTAGATCCTTTTTGAAAGTCTTTTCTATCTACTTTCAAGCAAACTGAACATCACAGCTGTAAGAAAACACATTGAATTTTTCTGAGGCACAAATCAATATACAGTGATATGATAAAATGCCAAGTCATTTTTTCCCCATATTCTTGATGTTACAATGAACCTCTTCTTTCTTCATTTATTCTGTCACACTAGAAAACTGCTCACTCAAGAATGGGGGGTACTACGTTAACTTATGACCAAACACCAATGATTAAGACACATCTTACTGGTCTCTGTGGGAAATGTCAAATGAGCAGAAATCTAGTTGCTTAAGTTATCCATTCTGCGTGTACCACAGTTTTTCTAATGAGGACTTCCTTGGCACATAAGAGAGAATAATTGAGAGGTG